AAAAAAAAAAAAAAAGAAATCTTAATGCTATTACTATCAAGTCTGGAGAAAAAAAAAACCAAAATATTAAACTCTCCAAATACTACACAGCTATTTGCATTTTAGGTAAAGAGGGCACTTACCTCCTGTAAATGATGTGGAAATTGCATAAAGTGACTGATAGAAGCCAAGTGCTGACAATACTGGGGATAGTCCTTCAATCTGCCAATAAAATCATTCTGCCATCATTTCATGTCAGAACAGAAGCAGCACTACTAACAAAAAGTTTCTGTCCAAATGCTAATCTAGGTCATTTTCTCCATCTTATTTGAAGAAAAAGTCGTTTGAATAACTTATTTGAAGAAAATGTCAAAGGAAAGAAAACAGAAGTAGAGGGAGAAAATACTTATGATTTTCACTTGATTTACATGAGAAAATACACTACCTTTGATTTTTAAAGGTTCTATTTTACTTAACAGTAGATTAAAATGAGTCATTGATATCTGGAAACAACTCATATTTTCATCAACAGATGAATGGAAAAATAATTTGTAATCAACCCATAGAGACTACTACGCAGCTATTTAAAAAAAAAAAAAAAAAAAAGACTACCGAAACATGAAGTAACATAAGTTTCAAAAAACTACATATTTGTATGACTTCGTTTAAAAGACATTCTGGAAAAACTTTATAGAGATTATCAAAGATTGGAAGTCAGGAAGGAGACTAACTACAAAGGGGAACAAGGAAACTTCTTAAGGGATGATGAAAATATTCTGCATCAGCCAAGCATGGTGGTTTATGCCTATAATCCCATCATTTTGGGAGGCTGGGGCAGAAAGATCACTTGAGGCCAGGGATTCAAAAATATTCTATCTTGACTGCGGTAGTAGTTACACAACTGTATAAATGTCAAAATTCAAAGAACTATACACCTAAAAGGGAAAACTTCTACTGTACAAAGTATATCTCAATAAATAACCAATCAAAAAATCTGTTCTCATTTTAGTTTTGCTACCAATATTAAAAAAGAGAAGCTTTCTACTTTAGTTTTCCTACTTATATTAAAAAAGAGAGGCTTTGGTCAGGCTGGTGGCTCACACCTGTAATCCCAGCACTCTGGGAGGCTGAGGCAGGTGGATCACTGGAGGTCAGGAGTTCAAGACTAGCCTGGCCAACATGGTGAAACCCCATCTCTACTAAAAATACAAAAAGTTGCCAGGTGCAGTGGTGCATGCCTGTAATCCCAGCTACTCAGGAGGCTGAGGCAGGAGGATTGCTTACAATCAGGAGGCGGAGGTTGCAATGAGCCCAGATAGCGCCACTGCACTCCAGCTTGGGCGAGACACCAAGACTCTGTCTCCAAAAAAAAAAAAAAAGAAAGAGAGAGAAGCTTCAGGCCAGGCACAGTGGTTCACACCTATAATCCTAGCACTTCTGGAGGCTGAGGTGGGAGAAACTGAGCAACATGGTGAAACTCTGTACAGAAAATATAAAAGGCTGAGCATGGTGGCATGCACCTACGGTCCCAGCTACTTAGGAGGCTGAAGTGGGTGGATCACTTGAGCCCAGGAGGTCAAGGCTACAGTGAGCTGAGATGACGTCACTGCACTCCAGCCTAGGTGACAGAGTTAAGACCCTGTATGCATGGTCAGGGAAGAGGGAAGAGACTCTTCACAGGAAACACATCCACTTACCTGTTTTTAAATCTATCTAGTGCAGCAATCCCGAAATAATACATTTTGGATCCAAAAGGCTTGCGTAAGGCTTCAAGAACATATCGTAGGGCCAGACCTAGTGCCATGTAAGTAACTAGTCCTTTTTCAATTATACCACCAAACAGGCAGGCTGTTATATGTAACTCTTTATCAGGATACTGGGGAAAAAACCGATATTCTTCAAACAAGTTCCTTAGCATACAGTTAAATACTTCTCGTTCTCTCTTTATAGTAGAGTCTTTAAATCTCTGCAGCATTTCTAATACCTGGAAAAGCAAGACAAAAATCATGCACACATAAAGGAAACACTTACTAAGAGCCTTTCTCAAATATGCTTGATGAAAGACTGTTAAGTAGAATATTTATCAAACGAGCCTGAGACAAATATTAAAGTTTCAAAAGATACACAGCTACATCAGAACACTTTAAGCTGGATTTCGAAAAAAACTGAAAAGGGTGTTTATTTGAGTCTGGTCTAAACAATAAATATTTAGATCATCCTAGACACTCACCTCATCGACAGACATGGTTGGATGTGGTGGATGATTATATATTCGCTGGAAATAGCTGTTTGCTTCATCATCTATCTCTTTACTAAAGTGCTGGTTTGCTTCTGGCCACACCTGAGACAAGTCCGCTGTTGGAAACAAAAAGCAATTAGTGAGCATTTAAGCCCTTCCTCTACTTCCCCATAAAACACAGAGAAGCCAGAGAATACTGTAGTTCTAACTTTAAGAAAAATTTTTAAAAACTGGAAAAGTATTGAGTTTCAGTATTAATGTGTTCTAGGGTAGACATAAAAGATCTTTAACAAAGTGCCTTCTATAATTCTACGTTAGTATTATCTTCATCAGGACTTACTATAATACAAAAGTTAACTTGGTTCAAACTCATAATGCACTTACCCTTAATAAAACCTCATTAGAGGTTAACAAGTCTTTATCACTTTATAATAAAAATCACATTTAACATGTAAGAATTATCATGCATGTGCATGAGACTGATGTGAACACAAAGCATGCTACAAAACGTAACATTCAGACAAGCCTTTCATACTAACGTTATCAAGTCAGCTGGAATACTTTCAAACCTCATATTATGACCATGCAGTCCCAATGACAAGGACTTAGGTCTGTTATACCTATGGATTTATAAAGATGACTTCTATGAGTTTAGTTAGGAAAAAAAATTACTAAGGAGGTGAAACAAAAATTGGAGACAGAAATCCGAAGTTTTTCTTGCCATTCCTGACTTGCTTTAAAAAAAAGAAAACCAACAAACTTTGAAGTTAAGTACAAGAGTTACATGTGTATACCTACAACACATGAATTTCTCTTTATCATACCCACTTCTTACTTTTAGGATAAACATCCTCAGGATGCAGCCTCTTACTAACCATGACTTTTTTCTGGGAATCCACAGCAACAGTGGAGGGATACCTCTAACTTTTATTTTAATAATTCAAATTTGTTAATTTATTCCCACTGGTATAGGAGGCACATCAACATATGGCCATACTAACACAAATGAGACATACAACTAAACATTTTTAGTTTATATCAGTCACACTTCACAATCACAGACAACACTACGACTTACAAGGTTTCATCTTACTCTGCTGGAATGTAGGCTGGTTCAATCCAGAGGTGCCCAGTTTCCTCTGTACAAAAGGGTCGTTATTCACTGCAGGGAGTCCAAGAGCACCAGTTCCTATACCAGTCAGGCTGCCTGTGCCAAGACCACCTACTAGAGAAAACGAAGGCAGCCAGAAATCCTATCATTATTCATATTCTTGATTTTATTCACATCTCATATATTAATAAGACTGACTTTTAAAATGAAGTCATAGTAACTCTTATTTCAAAAGTCAGAATCTTTGTTAATTCTCTTATTACATCTATTCAATTTTACAGAGCCTGTGAACTAGGTAGTAACGGATAATCCCAAAATTCTTCAGCATCTGGAAATATTTATATTCTTGATAATGTGCAAAAAATTAATGTATACATTTTCAAGGCACACACTCCCATACCCAAGGTAGTTAAAATAAGGAGCTGGCTGGCTTTTCTCAATGATTCCAATCAGATAATTTCATGGTACTATCTTCTAATTATCATGAGTCTCAAGATTTCTTCATTCCTCTCAACTCTGACAAATGGAATCTTAAAATAATTAGAGCTTCGTTAGGAAGGCCTTAGTAAGTTCATTAACCTTTATTTAAATGAACCAATCTTCAAAGCTAGAACTATACAGTAGCAATGTTAACTAGATTAGAGTCATGACAACACTGAAGTCCTTAGGTTTTAGTACCTGAACTTACGGTGTCAACATAAAAGGTAAAGGAGGCTAAGATGTAGGTACAAACAACAACAACAACAATGTAGCTTTTCTTTCAATGTACTTACATGCCACGATATCTGGGGGGAAAAACTGAAAATGTGGCCAGTTGGGGTGGCTCATGCCAGTAATCCCAGCACTTTAGGAGGCTGAGATGGGTGATCACCTGAGGTCAGGAGTTCAAGACCAGCCTGGCCAACATGATGAACCCCAGTCTCTACTAAAAATACAAAAACTTAGCAAGACGTGGTGGTGAGCAACTGTAATCCCAGCTACTTGGGAGGCTGAGACAGGAGAGTCACTTGATCCTGGGAGGCAGAGGTTGCAGTGAGCTGAAACAGCCCAACTGCACTCCAGCCTGGGCAACAAGAGCAAAACGCTGTCTCAAAAAACAAGCAAACAAAAAAACCTGAAAATGTTTTAGAGATGTCCTATCATTTTCAAGGTTGGTGAAACACAATAAGGCAGGCAGAACATATGCCTGAACCTGACATGTACAATAGTTTCTACCTTTATCATACCAAGTTGAAGTAATTCGTAAAGCTATGAGTTCTTGATCTAAGCCCTTTAGAATGTGATTAACACAAGTTACTGTTTATACTATCATTGGTTAATATAATATCCTTACTAAATAATTCAACTAACTTTACAACTACAAATATCCTACTACTTTACTCCAATTAGACTGAATTGAATATGATAATATGTTTTTCTTTTTACAACTTTGGATAGTAAAGCAGGCTTCACATTTTCATTTAAGCAGCTTTCCAAACCCTTTACCAAACACTAAGGAATGCTGAAACTTATGAATAATCCATGCTCTCATTTGCCTCCCCCTTACCTGGAAGCTGTGATGAAAGTCCTCCAATACCACTGAATGCAGTGGTCTGATTGGGGGTTGAAAGGGGTGGAAATGCTTTTGCTGGTGACTGAGGGGTACTGAATGCAGAACCCAAATTTGGAGGAAAACCCTGCATACTCTGGGTGTGAGGGGCAGCTGAACCACCTATACTAAGAGATGTCATTCCAGCAAGAGGGTCAATCTAAAGAAAAACATTATAAAAATGTATTAAACATACGCCGAGGAAAGGCAGACACAGGTAAAGCAATCTTTAACAGCAGCTCTTCATACTCTTAAATAGCAAATTCTAACACCCGCTCAATCATGATACTTAAATTCCAGTTACCAAGTCAAGTGTGTCAGTCACTTTTCTTACTATGTCATATATGGACTAGGTTTAGAGTTTGCCTTTGATAAAATACAGATTGAGTATCCCTTATCGAAAATACTTGAGACCAGAAAAGTTTTCAGTTTTGGATTTTGGAATATTTACATATACATAACCAGGCATAACAATCCCATCATGGGATTCAAAACATGAAATTCATGTGTTTCACATATACCTTTATACACATAACCAGAATGTAATCTTATGCAATATTTTTAAGAATTTTGTGCATGAAACAAAATTACGACTGTTTTGACTCAACACGTAACATCAGATGAGGTATGTAATTTTCTACCTGTGGTGGGTAATGTCAGTGCTCCAAAAGTTTCAGATTTTGGAGCATTTTGGATTTATAGATTAAGGATGCTCAACCTATAACAGAGCCACAAAAAGGGCTACAAAACCTAATGAATGATACTTAAGATGAACTGCCTTGTAAATGTACCACTAAACATTTAGTAGTGACATGGGACAGTTAATATATTAGTAAATCCTCACAGTGTCCAATAAGCCACTTTAAAACAACCTCTCAAGCTAAATTTAAGTAAGTTTAAACATAAATAGAAGTATCAGAAATTAGAAACAAATCTCCCAGTCAAAATAAACTTAGTCAAAATTCGGGGATTTTGGAAGTGGGGGAAGATCAGCTCCAATTTTGAAAACAAAAACAAGGTATGCTATTTACCAAAATATATGTTTTAAAAATATCTAATAACTGCACTTCCAGGTTTAAGTTTGTGGCACTACTTCATACCTTCATGGCTACAGAAAATGAAAGCAAATGCCTTTTATAAGGTAGTCACTGAATCACTAAGTGCCTCTTTCTTTCCTTAAAACCCAAATCTGCCATTCAATGCATCTGAAAACAGAAGCCAATATGTTGCTCCCAGAGAGAAAGGGGTGGTTGATGTCAGGGAGTAACTTAAATGTACCTTGTTTTTAAAAGAGCAGTTCAGTTGAGAGCTGAAGAGCCCCAGTTATAACAAGTCGTTATGCTCTAGCACTGTTGCTTGGCCCGTGAAGCTACAAACAAGACACATCAGGTTCAAAGGCAGTGCTTATGTCTCAAGAGTCTATGTAATTCATATTTTAAAAACAAACCCTTTTCATTTACCTAAATAAGTTGGTTTGTATATTTCCTCTTAGAGTCACATTCTATTTGATGATTAAAAATCTATTCTTAACTATAATGCCTATTTACAGATCTCCTTTAAAATAAGTGGATGCTAGACATGCAGTTATCTAAGATGTAATAAACTCAGACAATTTACTAATGACATAGAAGCTTATTCTACTCCAAGTCTATGGCAAATGAACATGTATCAAATGTATAAGTCATTTACCTGAACAGGAGAAATGGCATCTAAGCTGCTAGCACTAGGAGGACGTCCTTTTGGCATAACTCCAGGTGGTGGTTGTCTGGCCTTATTCATAACATTACTGCAATTGGCTACCATGGTAAGGATAGTTTCCGATAACTCCTGAGAAACACTCCTAAAGTAGAGGGGAAAAGGTGAAAAATATCAGTTTTCCTATTCCCCAGAACATCTAAGTAAACCAAAAAGATTTTTATTCTTTTTTAATTTTTTTTTTAGACGAAATCTCACTCTTTCGCTTAGGATGGAGTGCAGTGGCGCAATCTCGGCTGACTGCAACCTCTGCCCCCTGGATTCAAGCAATTCTCCTGCCTCAGCCTTCTGAGTATGAATCTGATTTTCTAAAAAAGAAACTTTGCTGGGTTTGGGCACACTGGGTCATGACTGCAGTCCCATTGCTTTAAGACGCTGAGGCAGGAGAACTGCTTGAGCCAGGAGTTTAAAGCCAACCTGGGCAGAATAGCAAGGCTCCATCTTCACAGTAAGTATTAAAAAGTTGAGACCAGATGTGGTGGCTCACATCTGTAATCCCAGCACTTTGGAAGGCTGAGGCAGGCAGACTGCCTGATGTCAGGCATTCAAGACCAGCCTGGCTAACATGGTGAAACCCCATCTCTACTAAAAATACAAAAATTAGCCGGGCATGGTGGTGCACGCATGTAGTCCCAGCTACTCAGGAGGCTGAGGCAGGAGAATCATGTGAACCCGGGAGGTAGAGGATGCAGTAAGCCAAGATTGCACCACTGTACTCCAGCCTGGGTGACAAAGCAAGACTCCTTCTCCAAAAAAAAAAAAAAAAGTTAATCAGGGGCCATGGCATATGCCTATAGTCCCAGCTACTTGGGAGAATGAGGAAGGAGGATCACTGGAACCCAGGAGTTCAAGGCTGCAATAAGCTATGACTGTACCGCAGCACTTTGGCCTGGGTAACAGATAAGAAGAAAAGAGACAGAAAATTTGATGGAACATGTGGCTAAATTTCTGCCATATCTCATCCCTCTGCATCTGTCATCATTAGAATTTTCTGAGTACTGGCTTTCTTTTTTTTTTTTTTCTTTTTTCTGAGATGGAATGTTTTTCTGTCACCCAGACTGTCACAATGGCGCGATCTTGGCTCACTGCAACCTCTGCCTCCCAGGTTCAACATTCTCCCGCCTCAGCCTCCCGAGTAGATGGGATTACAGGCGCATGCCAACAGTCCAGCTAATTTTTATGTTTTTGTAGAGATGGGGTTTCACCATGTTGGCCAGGCTAGTCTCAAAGTCCTGACCTCAGGTGATGTGCCCACCTCGGCCTCCCAAAGTGATGGGTTACAGGTGTCAGACACTACACCCAGTGTTGCTTTCTCTTGAAACTAATCTGCACCTCCTAAAAGAACTTGTACACAGTACAACCAAAATATTTCAATGGAAAATCAAGAAACATTCCATAACTTCAACCACTTTGTCAAAAATTATGCCAAAACCCAGACATATCAAAGCAAAAGGTAAGCAATTTTTATACTAGTATTTCATACTACGTGTAGTTACAGACAAAAACACCATGCACAGTAATTACCTTTAACATGCACATGAAGAAGTGACAGATATTCTAAAACAAATGTCAAGTAGGATGAATATTCACTTGACAATTAAACCAATTTTCCTGTTTTAGGTTGCTATTACAGGTTGAGCATCCCAAAAGCAAAAATCTAAATCCCAAACACTCGAAAATCTGAAATTTTTCAATGACAGTGTTTAAAGGAAATGCTCTTTTGAACATTTTGGAGTTTGGATTTTTGAATTTGAGGTGTGTACTAAGGAAGTAAGTATAATGCAAACAGTTAAAAAAAAAATTAAACCCAAAACACTTCTGGCCCCAAGCATTTCATAGAAAGGATACTCAATCTGTATTGCCTCATACAACTATGGGATCCTTCGTATTTAGAAGCTCTACATGGGCCAAGCGTGGTGGCTGACGCCTATAATCCTAGCACTTTGGGAGGCTGAGGCAGGCAGATCACCTGAGGTCAGGAGTTCAAGACAAGCCTGGCCAACATGGTGAAACCCATCTCTATTAAAAATTTTAAAAAATTAGCCAGGCATGTGGCAGGCACCTGTAATCCCAGCTACTCAAGGAGGCTGATGCAGAAGAATCGCTTGAACGCAGGAGGTAGAGGAGGCAGTGAGCCAAGATCGAACCACTGTACTCCGGCCTGGGCGAAAGAGCGCAAGACTCCGTCTCCAAAAAAAAAAAAAAAAGACTCTACATAATAGCTCAGAAGCAAGAGTGGCTTACGCCTATAACTCCAGCAATTTGGGAGGGAGGTGATGGTGGGAGGACTGCTTGAGGAAGGTGTTTCAAGATCAGCCTGTGAACACAGCAAGGCTTCATCTATCTCTACAAAATATTTTACAAATCAGCCAGGTGTGGTGGCACATGTCTATAGTCCTAACTAGCTGAGAGGCTGAGCTGGGAGGAGTGCCTGAGCCCAGGACTTCAAGGCTATAGTGAGCTATGATCACACCAAAAGCACTCCAGTCTTAGAGAAAGGGCCTATTCTTGCCACTTCTAAGGTTTGAAACTGTGTCAGAAATAAGAATTTATCCCGAAATAGTAAAGATGACATTTTAATTTACCATATTTTGTGCCCACTGTTTTATTTCTACTTTAACATTTCTGAAACCATGTGTCTCATTGGTGATGTGTCATATATTACAATTGGTGGAATTACTTTTTTTGTTTTTGCATTGGACATAAAATATTGGTGTGGCTTACACATTTGAAGGTGTTTTGGATTCAATGCAGTATGATGTAATTACCATCTACTGCTGGATAGCCTGTTTTCCTAACCCATGGCACTGGTCTTTTTGGAACAGTTTCTTTTTAATTTAATGGTTTGTTTGCTTTGTTTTTGACTTTATTCTTTTAAGTACAAGTCAGGGCCAGGTGCAGTGGCTCACAACTGTAATCCCAGAGCTGTGGGAGGCAGAGGCGGATGGGATCACTTGAGGTCAAGAGTTCAAGAGTAGCCTAACCAACGTGGTAAGATCCCATTTCTACCAAAATACAAAAAATTGGCCAGGTGTGGTGGGGCATGCTGACAGTCCCAGCTACTCGTGAGGCTGAGCCAGGAGAATCGCCTGAACTGAAGAAACAGAGGCTGCAGTGAGCCAAGTTTGCACCGCTGCATTCCATCCTGGGAAACAGAGCAAGACTCTGCCTCAAAAAAAAAAAAAAAAAAAAAAAAAAAGAGTACAAGTCCGTTGTTTTGCAGAATGTCCCCTGATCTGAGTTTCTCTGGTATTCTAAATTCAGATTAGGTATTATAATCCTATGACATAAATTACATTGTTTTCTTCTCAGTGTATTTTATGAAACATATGATGTAGGTTTCAGCTAGTGATCACTTTGATCAATAGACTAACATGGTTTTATCTGACAGGTTTCTCACTGACGTTGTTTTCCCCCTTTGTAAATACAGCGTAATTTGTGGGGAGATATTTTGAAACTACATAATTATCCAGCTCTTCAAACATATACCCATTACTATTAGCATGCATTAAAGATTACAATTCCATCAAAATGACTTCTATATTTATTAATTAAAATGACTTTCCTTCTCTGGCATTTATTATCATCAGTATGGACTCAAAATACTTTGGATACATTATCTTACTAACTTTTTCAACAAGACAAGTACTGCTAATAGATCAATTAAAGAAATTAATTGAAACCCAGGAGTTAGGTAAACTGCCTTCTCACTTACAATAAAAACATAATTTATGCAATTTTAACAGGCAATTAACTTTCCAGAATATTCCACTGTGGATGGATTAAAATATATAAATCTAAAAGGCTAAACTTTAAAACTTAAAACTGTAGAACACTTAGAGCTTATTAGAGAAGAGTGCTTTGGAATGGACATTATTTGTCGTACAAAGCGGTCTTGTGCATTGTGGAACGTTTAGCCAGTACTGGGTATCACAGGCACATTTCTAATTATGACAACCAAAAAGATCATCAAGCCAAGCATGGTTGCATGCGACTACAGGACCACCTACACACAAGACTCATGCAGAAAGACTGAAGCCAGGAGTTCAAGGTTGCACTGAACTATGATTGTGCCTGTGAACACAAACTGTACTTCAGGCTGCTCAACAACACGGTAAGACCTCATGGCAAAAAATAAAAAGATGCTGAGTATAGGCGGCTCATGCCTATAATCCCAGCACTTTAGGATGCAGTGGTGAGAGGATCGCTTGAGCCCATGAATGAGCCATGATCACACCACTGCACTCTAATCTGGGTAACAGAACGAGACTGCTCAAAAAAACAATAAAAAGAACTAATGTTGGCTTAGTGTGGTGGCTCATACCTGTAATCCCAGCACTTTGGGAAGCCAAGTCAGGAGGAGTACTTGAGCTCAGGAGTTCAAGACCACCCTGGACAACATGGTAAAGCCCAATCTCCATAAAAAATTTTTTTTAAAAAAGGCATGCATGATGGTGTGCGCCTGTAATCCCACCTACTCAGAGGCAAGAGAGCAAGACATCATCTCAAAAAAAAAAAAAATAATAATAATAATAATAATAAGCAAAGAAAGAAACAAAATCAAAAGACTGAGGAAGCAAAATCACCCTTGGTTAAAACAACTACTTGTTTAGTGATAATGATGTTCAAATTTTTTAAAAAGCAAGGAAATAAACTATAAAATCCAAAAGCTAGGGAAGAAGACAAGGGTAGCTTCAAAAAGATCAGTCATCTAACAGTGTATGTTGCACAGTAGAATTACATGTTTTCATTTTATGATGTTTCAAAATTTAAAAACAATACATTCTCATAAGACAAAACAACAGGGGATGGACTGACTTTCAAATATTCTTCCCTTCATGAAAGCAACTAGAAAATAGCGTCCAACTTTTTCAGAAATTTGGAAATTAAACAAAGGCTTGTAACAACAGGGGAATTTTTTTTTTGGGACGGAGGTTTGCTCTTGTTGCCTAGGCTGGAGTGCAGTAGTGCAATAATCTTGGCTCACCACAACCTCTGCCTCCCGGGTTCAAGCAATTCTCCTGCCTCAGCCTTCAGAGTAGCTGGGATTACAGGCATTTGCCACCGCACCTGGGTAATTTTGTA